CCTGCCCTCCAAGGGAGTGGTGACAGGGTGGGAGGGAGTGAGGAGACTTAGCTGACATCCATTTGGGTCCCTCACCACCCCCAGCCCTGGCAGGGCGCTCCGGGGCGGGAGCCAGGCGGCCTCCCCAGCTGCTCTGAAACCCTATGGGGAGGGTCTGTGGGGGGCGGGTGGCAAGTGAGGGGGCTCCGCGGGCTGCTGGGCCCGATCCCCTCTGGGCTGGGAGCCTGAGTTGCCTCTGCAGGACCAGGCTGGGGGGCAGCTCAAGACAGGGTGGTGACAAGGGGGCTTCCAGGAAAAATGGCAGGGGTGTCAGGCATTGGGAAGGGTGCCACGTCTCGCCCCAGTGTTGTGCGTGCACTTGTATGTGCCTGGGAGGGAAAGTGTGCGTGTGGGTGTGCGTGTGGGCAGGGGGAGCCTGATGGTGGGCGGGCACGTGAGGGTGCAGGTACGTGTGCCGGGGTGGGTGCCTATTCAGGGAGAGACACGCAGGCCGCACACGTGGGGAGCGGGAGTGGGTGTTTGGGAGCACACGTGTGTTTGCTGGTGCTGGGGCATGCATGCTGCAGCGTGTGTGCGTGTGTGCACTGGGGTGTGAGTACAGGGGTGTGTGCAGGCACTGGGTGGGTGTGGATGGCTTGGAGGCTGTGGCTCACAGGCGTACGAACTCTGGTGGGTCTGGGGGCAGCCTGGAGTTTCAGAGACCGAGGACCCGGCTCACATTTCAATTCTAAACCCCAGCCTCTGTGTCTGAGCCTGTGGGATGGGGATGATAAACCCCTGGGGGGTGGTGACGGTGAAAGGAGGCAGTGCAGGTAATGTGCTTCCTCCGCAGGGTGCGCAGAAGTCTCTGGAACCCCCTGGGGACCCTCAGCAACTCCCTGGGGTCCCAAGGCTCAGACTTTCACCAGTTGCTTGGAGGGGGGAGTGTCCCTGTTGGTTGCCTGTTCCCGGGATCGGCGGTGGCAGGTTCGGTGCTTCTGCAGTGGGTGTGCTCGCGGTGTGCGGGGCTGTGGGGGGTGTGAGCATGAGAAAAGGTTGTATCTGAGTTGTAAGGTTTATGGCGGAGTCGGGGTGCACCTGCCGGGGGCTACGTGTATGAGCGAGGTGTGGTTTAGAGGAACATACGTGTACATGGGGGTGGGTGGTGTGGGCCTCAGGTGAGGTGAGTGTGTGATGCGTGTGGTCATGAGACCCTGCTGAGTTTGTGTGCGGCATCCTGGGGTGTGTGAGGTGAGGAGAGGGGTGTGTGTATGTGTGTGTGTGTGTATGCTTGAGTGTGCAGTGTGTGCATGAGGATGTTGGGCTGTGCCGTGTGTCCATTGTACTGTGTGTGTGTGTTGGGGTGTGGATGTCAGGGACAGGAGGCTGTTTGCCTACCTGGAGGGGCCGCTGTACGGGTCAGGGAGAGGGCTGGCTGGTCCTGGGGCTTTTGGATTCAGTTTTCTTCTAAGGGAATGGCATGGATAATTATGCTCATTATGCATGGTTATGCAAATGCAGGGGTCATTTGGGGGTCAAAGGCTGTTTGTTATCCCCTCCTCAGGCACTTTGTGCCCCACCTCCTCCTGTGTCCTCTCTGTCCCCCTGGGAGCTGCAGCTATCAGCACCCCCATAGCATTCCTGTGAGGTCCTTGCTGAGCCCCTGCCCCCACCCCTGCAGGTCCCAGGTGTCCCCACACTAAGTTTCTGCTGAGCTTCCCTGGGTGAGCTCAGGGGGGCTGGGTTATTGGCACCCTCCCCCACTGGGCCACCCCATCTTGGGACTGCTTACTGCTTGGAAAGAATGTTCTCTTGAATGCGGGTTTGGAAAATCACTAAGGTGGCCCCTTCCCCAGCTTCGTCTGATCAGCATGAGGCTAAATTAAGATGTGAGAGAATCTCTCCCTCCGCCTCCCACTCTGCCCTCTCTCCCTCTCACACCCCCAGCCCACCCGCCTAGCCCAGACCCCTCTGCCCCCAGCCTCCCTCTGTCCTCTGCCTTTCCCTCCCTGTCATCCTCTCTGTTCCTCCATGATCTCCTCCTCTCCTGCACCCCCATCTCTGTGGGGAGCTGCAGTTCCTGGGCCTTAGCATGGGGAAGATGGTTGTCATGGTAACGGTTGTCATGTCGATGGCTAGTGAGCTAGGGATGAATAGTATCTAGGTGAGAGCTACCTGAATGGAGGCTGGTGGATTCACAGGAGGCTCGGTGCTTGTCTCTGAGCCTCCGAGCTGCACACAGCCCCCTTCCCTCCCATGCACACGCCTGTTTGTACCCAAAGGCACGCCAACACCCCGTGCCTCTCTGTGGCTGCCTTTAGGTGAGTGTGTGTCAGGGTGTGGCTGTGCACGATCTCTCTGCGTCTCTGGGTATGTCTTTCAAAGGTCTGTCTAGCTTTGGGAAGGGTCTTTGGATGTGTGCAGGCCTTTCGGGGAGCAGGGAGTCCGGGGCTGGTTTGTGGCACTGGTCACTGAAGGATCTTGAGGACTCTTTGTTTTGGCACCTGTGTTTACCCCAGTTTGGGGGTCCCAGGGCCTATAGACCTCTTAGAATCCCTCCCCCCAGCTGAAGGCCTGCCTGGAAGCAGGAGCCTGAGCCCTGGTCCTTCCCTGCTCAGTCCCCATTCTGCTGGGACTTCAGGCTGCTTGCCAAGGAACTGGAGGGGACAGAAGCAGAAAGTCCCCAAGGGACTCCAGCGTGGCTAGCTGAGGGTGTGGAGGGTAGAAAGCTCCCTATACTGCTAGCCCCTGCAACCTGTGTCCTGGGGATTTGTCCCTCGGGGCAGAGACGGGAGCTGTGAAGAGCTGGACCGTAGCTGCTCTGTGCTCTCGGAATGTCTAAAAAGGAGGAAGCCCCAGCGATTCGTCATGGGGGCAATTACACTAATTGTTCCACTCCATGACTCACTGGTAGAAAGTAAATACTGATTAATTCATTACTTTGAGACTGTGTGTGTGTTCGTTGAGGGGGGCATCTCCTGGCTCCCTGCCCTGGCTGGGCCTGGTAGGGCTTTGGAGCAGGTGGCTGAGGCTGGTGGTGGGAAGCCAGGATGGAGATCCTCTCTCTGGCTCTGTGTGACCACCAGAGGGGGGCCCGTCAGTGTCAGGGGTGTGAGAGGCTGCGCCCACAATGCAGTGCTGATCCAGCCCCTCTTGTGCTCACACACCTTCCAGGGCTCCCCGCTGCCACCCAGACGTGGCAGATGCTGAGACCTACTGAACCACTGAGTTCAGCTTTCGTGACATTCTCATGTGCAGTCAGGATGAAAAATGACCAATTTCCAAGAGGAAGTCATCCCCAGACACTGAAATTCTTCTGTGATGCGGCCCTAGCTGACCTCCCCACCCTCAACTCCAGCCTGCCCCTGCCTCACCCCTGCCTTGCGATTATTCGCGTCTTCCAACTCCAGCTCCATCCCGAACAGATATTTCCTGAATACCTACTATGTGCCAGGCACCTTGCTAGATGCCGGGCACTGTCCTGCCTTCACTGGGGGTGGTCACAGCCATTGAACAAATACACACCCAGGCAAACACAGTAGTGTTAGATGTTGTGAATTAGGAGCATGGGACGCTCTTAAAGTTCAAAGTGAGAGGGGTTTCTCAAAAGAAATGACGTGAGAATGGGAGTCAGCCAGCAAGTTGGAGGACAGGGGGCTGGAAGGAAAAGTGTTCTAGGCACAGGGGACAGCATGAGTGAAAGGGGCGTGTTCCAGGAACAGAAAGGGGCCGGGGTGCTGGGGTCCAGTGTCTGGGGGTGTGGAGGGAGGCTGGGTGAGGCTGGGGGTCAGGCAGGGCCAGTTCCAAGGGTACAGGCTGCACTTTCCCACCTTGGAGACTTTGCTTATTCTGTTCCCTCTGCCTGTGACGCGTTTCTCTCTTGATTTCAATTGTTTAAGCCCAAAGCCATGTCCTTTGTGTCCTAGTGCCAAGAGTGAATCTCACCTTCCTCCTGAAAGCTCTCAGGGGGCAAGGGACTGTGGCTGGGCTCAGTCTGGAGCCAGGGCTGAAGGTGTGGCTGGTGGAGGGCCAAGGAGCACACCTCTTTGGGGGTGTATACGCTTGCTTTTGAGGTCCTTAGTGATGGCCCCAACCCCAGGGTTGCAGGAATGGGGGGACAGTCAGATCCAGGGGCCCAGCTCCCAGCTTTCCCAGGTTTTGGCTCTGGGAGGAGTCTTGGGCCTAGTGAGCCAGACCCTTGGAAAAGCCCCTCTCACCCCTCCTAACCCCCCAGAGACCCTCCCAACAGCAGTGGAAGTAGCATGCAGGCTCTGAGCTGACTCTGGGCTTTGAGATGCTTTGGGGTAAGTAGGGCAGGGACTGACTTGTTTGGCTGGAGCCTACACTCCCTTCTCCCTCCCCCATGCAAGGCCCTTCCCCCCACCTCCCACCCCCAAGCCCCCCAGCACCATGTCTGTCTGATAGTACTATTAGTAATTGCCCTGCTTTGGGAATGCGAAGTGGGAGACTCGGGTCCCAAGCAGAGGTTGGATCTCATCACATCGCCTGCTCTCTGGTGACCTGGGGCAAGTGGGCCTCAGTTCTCTCATCCATGGAATGGGCCGTGACCTGCACATCCCCCTCCCATGACACCTGTCCTGAGGACTCAGTGGGATCTTGTCTGTGAAAGGCACTTGTGAGTGGGGCTGACGATGCTGGCCACGTGGAGAGTGACAGCGAGGGCTGAGCACCTTCTCCATGCTAGGGTGCCGTCAGTCCTGCATGCGAATTTGCACACTGCACACTCACAGCCCAAAAGGCAGGTGTTCTTCACTTGTTTTACAAATGAGCAAACTGAGGTATGAAGAGATTGAATAACTTGCCCCAGGTCCCACATTTAGTAAGCGACAGAGCCAGGACTCAAACCCAGCACTCTGGCCGGCTCTAAACCCAGTTCTGCTAAGCAGTGGTTTCGACGAGGGGCTGAGGGAGCAAGCAGAGGTCCCCAGTGGTAGCTGTCAGGTGGCCCCAGAGGGGGTGGGCAGTGGTCATCTGGTTGGTACCTGGCCGTCTGTGGCCCCCGATCACATCTGTTGTCCTGGATGGGTCCAGGCTGCTGGCCTGGGGCTGACCCCTGTGCCTCTACCTTCCAGGCTCAGCGCTGGCGCAGCGAGAACTTTGAGAGGCCCGTGGACCTTGAGGGCTCTGGAGACGATGACTCCTTTCCCGATGATGAGCTGGATGACCTCTACTCGGGGTCGGGCTCGGGCTGTAAGTACCCTCTGTCAGCAGCAACCACTCTGCACGCAGCCCCTACTCTGAGGATCCCCAGGCTTGCTCCAGTGAGGCAGGGGTACATTGGGTGGCAGTCAGGGGCATTTCGGGGACCCCAAGCGCAGGAAGGGTGGAACATCCTCCTGGGGATGGAACTAGGCCTGGGTGGCCAGAGCCTGGGGCCCCCGGCTCCCCAGGGTCCCTGTCTCTGTGTCTCTGCGGGCACTGCTTGGCTCTCTGCAGCCCCTTAGACTCTGCCCTCTGGCCTCTGTCAGGAAAGGCAGAGGCCCCTCAGTAACCCAGGACCTTAGCAGCCTCCTCTGGGAGGCAAAGGCACTCAGCAGACTGTTTGATTGGCCCAGCTTGGGTCAGCTGGTCCCCTCCAGTCCAATCAGCTGTGGCCAAGGGCGGGGCAACGTTCACCGACCCAAACCTGTGTCCCAGGACAGCCTGCAGGCAGCGCAGCCCCCCACACCAGCACATGCTCACCCAGCTGCATCACCCCTTCTGTTCCTGGGAAAGTCAGGCAAAGAGAGCGGGTTGGGAGGCCCCGTCTTGATGGCCGTTGCTTACCTGGGATCCTCCCACCCCTCACAACCACCCAGCTCCCTAGCTCTCTCCCTCTCCCCCACCCCCTCAGACTTCGAGCAGGAGTCGGGCATTGAGACAGCCATGCGGTTCAGCCCAGATGTGGCCCTGGCAGTGCCCACCACGCCCGCTGTGCTGCCCACCACGGACATCCAGCCTGTGGGCACTCCATTTGAAGAGCTCGCCTCTGAGCGCCCCACCCCGGAGCCAGCCACCAGCCCCCTGGTGGTGACAGACATCCCGGAAGAGCCCAGCCAGAGAGCCACCACCATCGCCACCACCACGGCCACCACTACTGCCATGACCACAGGGGCCACGACCACAGGCGCCCCAGCTGTGGCCACAGTGCCCGCCACAGTGGCCACTGCCACCCTCAGCACTGCCGCGGCAGCCCCTTCCACGGCCACCACTGCCGTCGTAAGGACCACCGGCACACAGAGGCTCCTGCCTCTTCCACCAACCACGGCAGCCACAGCCCCGGCCACCACCCCCGAGGCGCCCTCCCCTCCCACCACAGTGGCTGTCTTGGACACCGAGGCCCCCACGCCCAGGCTGGTCAGCACAGCTACCTCCTGGCCAAGAGCGCTTCCCAGGCCGGCTGTGACCCAGGAGCCTGACGCCCCTGAGCAGAGCACCCTGCCCTTGGGGACCACTGCCCCTGGACCCACGGAGGTGGCTCAGGTGAGGGTGTGGGGATGGGGCAGGGAGGAAGGGCAACAGAGGGAGGGTCAGGGGCTGGGGGGGATGGAGCTTGGCAGGGGTGAGGACTGGGAAGTTATAGAGACGAGCCAGACAGAGTTGGGGGTGAGAGGGGCTGTGGCCAGAGGACCAAGACTGGGTGTGAGTCACAGGATGGGGACAGATATGGAGATGGGTGGGGAGGAAAGAGGGGTAGAAAACCAGGGCTGGGGTGGTTGGGTCTTAATGTCCGGACAGGGCATCGTGGGGAAGGAATTGGGTGACTGTGGGTGCTGGTGATGGGGGCCTGGGCCTGCGGGTTCTTGTTAAGAGCGTGGATCAGAGCCCGGCTGCTGGATTCAAATCCTTCTGCCACCACTTCCTGTCATGCAACTTCAGGCTGGTCCCTGGTCCTTTCTCTGCCTCCGTTTCCTTACCTGTGAAAAGGAGAAAATAACAAGCTGTGAGAACTACATTTCCTGATGTATCCCAAGTGTTTAGGACAGTGCCTGCAACAGTGAGAATCCAAACGCTCAGCCATTGTCACTGTTGTCATTGTTGTCATCGTGGTTATTATGATTGGTCTGAGGGTGGTCCAGAGCGGGCTGTGTGAGAAGAAGACCTCGGCTCCCCCACGTCATGCCGCCTGGGTGCTGCTCCCGGCCAGCGCTTTGCCCGCGTCACCTCCGGCCCTCATGTGAGCCTCGGCACTGTGGTCGTCTCGCCTTCCAGACGAGGCGCCTGCACGCTGGGAGGGGCAGCCAGTTTCCAGGGCTTTGCAGCAGCGATGGCAGTCAGGATTTGAACCCGGGCAGTTGGTCCCAGAGGCCGGGCAGTCTTGTAGGGCCAGGGCGTGTGTGTGTTCGGGATATTGTGGGTGATGGGTCCAGCAACGGGAGCTGTAGCCTGGCCCCCGCTGGGCGCATCAGGCAAGAAGGGGAGGTGGTGAGGTTGACGGGGGTACTGGCGCCCTTGTGGCTGGCCCCGTCGGGGAGGCCCTCAGTCCACGGAGCTGCCTGTGGCGCAGTGTCAGTCCCTCTGACTCCCCAGCCAGCCCTGGCAGGACACGGGCCCTTCCCTCGGCTCCTCAAGCAGCTGGGGCAAGCTTGGTGTTGTCACAGAGACTTGGCCAAGCAGGAAGAGGAAACAATGACAGGGCAGGGAGCCCAGGTCGCCGGTGGCCTCTTCTCAGCCAGGACTCTAGGCCCACCCTGTCCACGCCCACCTGTGAAGTAGCCACACCCCTGCCCCGAGGGCTCCCCCAGTTCTGGTCCTGCCTCCACGTGGCACGAGTGCAGTTGGGATTCGATTTGCAGTCACTGCGCTGGTTCCAGGGACACCTGCCCCCATGGCGCAGAGTGGGCACATTGCACGCTGCCAGCTGTGCTCTTGGACAGGCCTCCAGGCTGCAGGACTCATCTCTGCCTCAGGCATGAGGGCCAGGCCAGCCCCAAGTCCATAACAGTCGCACCCAGTGTCTCTCTAATGGGGATCCCCCAGGATTGTCACTAAGGCAGCGGGAGGGGTGTGATGCGGACAGGATGTGGCTGGAGTGAGAACAGAAGTGCGGTAGCGAGGTAGAAACATAGACCCTTGAGTCAGGTAGATCTTGACTTTGGTTCTGCCTCTGCCCCTTTCTAGCTGTGCACCCTTGGACCAGTCGCCTAACTTCTGAGTCTCCCTCTGCCCAGAGGGGCGGGGGTGTTGCTACCGCCTCTGTGGGGGTGGTGTTTAGCACAGTGCCTGGTGCACAGTGAGTGCTTAGGAAGTGTTAGTGCCCCTGGGGTGGTGGGATGGTAGTAGTGGGCTTGTGTGTGTGTGCTGCTGCCCTGCGCCTGGGGTGCTGGGCCCTGACTCCTGGGCTCACGACACACTCTCTGCAGACCCCAACTCCGGAGTCCTTCCTGACCACCACCCGGGGTGAGCCAGAGGTGCCAGTGACTGGGGGGCCCAGTGGAGACTTTGAGCTGCCAGAAGAAGAGACCACACAGCCAGACACAGCCAATGAGGTGGTGGCCGTAGGAGGGGCTGCAGCCAAGCCGTCACCTCCACCCGGGACGCTGCCCAAGGGTGCCCGCCCAGGCCCTGGTCTCCTGGACAATGCCATCGACTCGGGCAGCTCAGCTGCTCAGCTGCCGCAGAAGAGTATCCTGGAGCGGAAGGAGGTGCTCGTAGGTGAGGCCTGGGTCTGGGCCACGTGGGGACGGGGGTGGGGTGGGGGAGCCCAGAGTGAGGCGTTTCCTCCTTTGCCCTTTCCCCTTCCCAGACTGTGACCCTGCTTCATCTTCATCTCTGGCACTTTCCTCTGTGCCCTCTGACCCCTCCTTGGGCTCTGACTTTGACCCCTGCTTTCCTGGGCCGTGCCAGCTGACCCCCTGGGACCGTACTTTCTGGATACTAATCTCTGGCCCATCCTTTAGCTTGACCTCCCCCACCCTTGACCCCAGTCCCTGTGGACCTGCCATGGCCACCTCTCCTAAAGAGGCTCTGGACTCTTGGTCCAAATCCTGTCTCCACTCTTAGGAACAGTGTGACCTCAGGCAAGGAACTTCACCTTTCCAGGCTTCCTCCTCTTCATCTGTAGAATGGGCACAGTCATTTTGGCGTTAGTCAGTTCTAAGTTGCACATCTGTTCATACGTTAACTCTTCTGTAATTGGGACATGTCATAGTTTAGTTGGTGGAATTTTTTCTTTCTTAGTGGTTATAAAATACTGGAGCATCTTACCACTGATGACATCTTAAATTTGATGAAGACCATAGCAGCTCCCTCACAGGGCTGGTGTGAGGAGTCAATGGGTTAGTGTGGTAGGTGATGAGAACAGAGCCAGGGAAGCCTGTTAACAGTAGCCAGTGCCGGGGGTAGTGCTGTTGACTCTAACTTAGATTCAGGACTCCCAGCCCAAGCCCGAGCGCCATCTGCCCTGGTTCTACCCTGCCTCTGGGCCCTGACCTCTACCCTCTTCCTCCACAGCTGTCATTGTGGGCGGGGTGGTGGGCGCCCTCTTTGCCGCCTTTTTGGTCACACTGCTCATCTACCGCATGAAGAAGAAGGATGAGGGCAGCTACACGCTGGAGGAGCCCAAGCAGGCGAGCGTCACATACCAGAAGCCTGACAAGCAGGAGGAGTTCTATGCCTAGCGGAGCCACAGTGCCTCCCTGCAGCCTCAACATTGCCCTCTGTCCAGTCCCCAGCCTGGCCCCACCAGCCTGGGCTGGGGACTGGGCCTGGGAGAGAGCCTGGCCCTAGTTCTTCTCTGCCCTCCCTCCCAGCGCCTGACCAGGCTGCCAGCCTCACACAGATCTTCCTTGAGGAACAAAGGGCACTGCCATCTGCCCCGGACTGTGCCCTTATGAGCTCATCTCTTGTCTCCTCCTCCATACTAGCCTGGAGCTTCGGGACCTCGTGTCAGACGGATAGGAGGAAGGAAGCTCCTAATCGTCTCGTGGAAGAAAGTACGGGGCTTGAGATGGGCCTGAGCCCCAACCTGGCTCCCACAGGGCTTTCTGAGGTCTCCTTTTTGGGACAGAGAGGCACTCAGGCTGGTTTCCAGGACAAACATTTGGCAAACTCAGCCCTTGAAACCATCTAGACACTGCACCCTCTCACTCCTGTGCCAGGGCCTCTCTGCCTGGGTGAGAGGGTGTCCCTTGTTGCCAGCCTGTTTTGTCCTGGCCTCTCTGGGGTTGTTGAATAATTCTGCCTCTCCCCCGCCAAGTGCACACACGCCCCAGGCTTCACCTCTTTCTGCGTCTTCCCCTGAGGAAACAGCTTCTTGAGAGTGCTAGGGTAGCCACTGTCGAGAAGGGGCTGCTCTGATGTTCCTCCTGTGAGGGGACTCTGCACAGACACCATCGCCCACACTGTCACACATATTGTCACGGTCATACACAAGACAAAAGCATGAAATGACAAAATCATACACAATCATGACCACTCAGCCAGTCAAGACATATCACAGAAACACATATTCTTCCAAAGATATTTATCCTCATGTGTTGCTTACGTCCCTGGACACTTACTACGATGCAAGTCAGTAGTCATGGTCACCTAACAGTGACAGTGTAGCCTCCCTCCACCCCCAGTACACACACACTCTGGTACCACACACGTTGTCTCCAGCTTTCAGGTTCATTGGGAGGGTGGAATCGAGCCGGAACAATCAGCCCATATTGGGTCACCTTGAGTTGCCCCGTCACACTTAGCCCCACACCATGGCACCCACAGCAACCACACAGCCACCAACCCTGCCCTGTGTCACACACAATCCCACGTGGATGCACCCCACAGGACCATATTCTCAACACCGGAGGGAGGCAGGTGGGCCCTTGCCTTTCCTGGAGTAAAATGTGGGGCCACAAGCCCTCTCAAGGCGGTGCACGCCGGGCGGGCCTGGCCTCACCCCTGCCTTCCCTCCCCTCTGTAGCTCACAAAAGGGGAGGCTCGGAGCCAGGCCCCCACCAGCTGGGAGCCTGGGGCCTCTCTGAGCCTGGGGAAAGAAGGGATTGGTTCCTGAAACTTGGCCCCAGGCTGTGGAGGGTGCTTGGGTCTCTCAGGACCAAAGGCCCTGAGTGGGGAGGGGCATGTGGTCAGCCTCCTAGTGTCCCTGTGTCCCCTTCCTGCTCTGAGCTAGGGGGCCGACTGCCTCCCGGGACACAAATCCCCAAAGTGCCTGTGAGGGCGGGCCCTCTGCCCATGCCCTCCGCACCCTCTGCCTGGCCAGGCCAACCTCAGCCCCCCACCCCCTGCCCTGAGGCCCTCCCCCTGGCAGCTACCCTCGGTTTGGCCAATCAACTTGGCAGTTGGCTGCAGCTGGAGGGGCCTGCAGCTGGAAGCAGCTGTGCAGGGTTTGAGGGATTAGGCCAGTTGACAGTGGGAGGTGTCACGGCCCAGCCTTCTCCTCCTTTGTTACCCTGGCAAGTGGGGCCATTTCCGTAGGTGTTTTAAATGTGGGGCCACAAATCTCCTTTTGGGGGGTGTGCTTGGCGGGGCTCATGGAGCAAAGGGACGTGGTGTGAGTTGTGATTGGCTGGTGCTCACACCGCCCCTCAGCTGCAGCCCAGATTCAAGTTGGGAAGGCAGGTTTTATTTCCATTCCCTTTTCGAGATTCCCTGGCAGCGGCTTCTGCAGGGTGAGAGTTGGGGCGCCGAGGCGGCCAGGGCCAGGTTCTGGGGGGTCTGTCCCACAAACCAGGGTCCTACTTCCTGGCCAGGCTCCAGCTTCCAGACCCAAAGCTCCCCTCGGCAGTGCCTGGAGACTTGTGAAGAAGCTAGCTGGTCCCCTGAGATGTGGGGGGGCGGGAGGCGGGGCTCGGCCTCAGTCATCCCTGGGGAGCAGGGTACAGCAGCTCTGGTGAGAAGACATGGGCAGGCCAAGGCTGAGAAACCAGGGAGGTGGCGGAGAGAGGGTCTGGGCCCCTGGCCGCAGGGGACGCTGGCACTGGGGTGGGAAACCCAGCAGTGGGTGAAGCGTCTGCACAGGGCCAGAGCCCGTGGTGGGGGGGCCCCAGCAGGCTGACTCCTCATAGCCTCAGGCTGGCTTGGGGCTTGGGGCTTGGGGCTTGGGCTCCTGCCACTGGCCTCTCTTCTCTGCGTTCTTAGCATTTGAGAGAAGAGGCTGAGGGCCTTGTTCCTGGAGCCCTGGACCCAAGGCCTTATCCAGGCTGTGTCCTCATGAAGTTTAACAGTCTGCCCAGCCCAGATCCAGTTCGGCCAGCCTGGCTGGGGCAAGGCCATCTGCGAGCGAGTTGGGCCAAAAGGACAGGCTGGCGCTCTCCAAGTGCAATGTGGACGCAGGGCCCTGACACCCCCTCCTGCCCTCCTGCATGCGGTGGGACGCGCGCAGGGCCTGCACTCGCCCCAGTGCTCCTGGGGAGGGTATGCTGTGGGCCCTGGCATTTTCGGGAACCACTACAAATTCCAGATGAAGGGGAGCTTGTGTGGTTTGCGGGGCCTCCCTGGGGCCTTGGCTGCCAGAGAGCACATGGCAGGCTGGGGCCTAGAGAGTTGGGGGTTGGGCCTACCCCATGGCTGGGGTGTCTAGAGCCCAGGCTCTGTCTCCAGGGGGCCAGACGGGGACCTTGACTGAAAGGCTGGTCCCTTTAATCGCTGGAGGAATATGGGTGGCAGCCAGGGCGGGGCTGGGCAGGCCTGCGGGCAGGGCTTAGGGTGCTCGGGCCAGACCCCGTGGGGTTGGCAGAGCCGCCTGTCAGGCCTCCAGGTGGGGCCCTTGGGCACAGGGAGCAGACCCATCTCGGCCTCCCAGGGCAGGAGTGGCCTCTTCCTCGTCCTCCCGGATTTCTTCTGACAGCCACAGCCCTGGACTTGCCTCCCAGGCCTCCTGCCTGTAAATAGAAGCCCACAGACTGTGTACAGACTTAGAGACGCCAGGACTGGGCTCCGGGAGTCGCCATCTGAGGGCCGATGGCCCCAGCACCCCCCAGGTGCCCGCCAGGCACCTTAGTGCACCTGGCCTCAGCGTGGTGAATGCATGTACATATTTCTCGTAGGCAGCGCGGCTCCAGAGAGCCCCTGAAGACGGTGTCCCCCCACCCCGTGAGTCCTCTCCTGTACAGAGCCCTCCGAGAACCAGCCTGGGGCGGGCGGGAGTCTGTCCTTCCCTCCTCCCGGCCTTCCCTGCCCTTCCCTCCCCCGTAACCTGTTTATTAACCGTACCTGTCCTGAGTTCACGGCCAAAACTTTAAATAAGGAAGAGCGGAGGAAAAAGACAGTGGGAAAAAGAGACCGAGGCACCGCCCCGCTGTGGGCACTCACCTGTCCCTGCCTTGAGAAGGAACTGGGTTTCTTTGGTTCTGTTGTTTATGTTTGTTTGTTTTTTTAACATTTCCCGCGCTGTGCCCATTTATAAGAGGAAATAAAATTAAGCTGAAACAATGTGCTGTGGCCAGAGTGTGAGATGAATACGCCACGTGGGGAGGTGCAGCCTGCGGTCCCACCTTGGGCCCCAGCCACCTTCCCCTTTTCAAAGAAATTGAGAACCACGCAGGGAAAATCGACCACCAGCGCCTCTCGGGAACAATTGTGGTGGCCGCTGCCGGGGGGTGAGAGTGTCTGGGAAACCACGGAGCCGGCTGCGGTAGGGCCAGGATGGGCCGCGGTTGGGTGGGGCCCGGCGGTGGTGGGAGGGGGCCTGTGGTTCACCCCCAGGGGAGGAACTCTGGTTTTAAGCCACAAAGAGAGAATCTCGGGGCCACAGGAGAGCAGAATCAGACTGGGACGGAACGACCTTGAGGCCTGTTTCCACGTCCAGGTGTTGACATGTCCTAGCGCTGACGCTGGACAAGCCATGTGGCCTCTCTGAGGCTCGGTTTTCCCACCTGTCAGATGGGTTAACATGCCCTACACGGCCTGTGTTGAGGAAAAACACTCAGCACAGTGCCCGGTGCAGTTGACACAGCTCACGGGGCCTTTGGTGATGGAACAGGACAGAACCGCAGGATGGGAGAGGTTCCGTGGCCCAGAATCACAGACCGTGTCCTGTGATCACAGGTCACAGAGCTGGGGGGGCCTCAGAGCCAGCCCTGGACCCCTCCTTGGTGTAGAAATCACTTTCCCCAGCCCAGGCCGGGGCGCTGGGAGCATCCCGACTCCAGGGCCGCTGCCTGCTCGAAGGCCCTGACTGCAGCGGAGTCCGCCTCTCCGGCGCGGCCCAGCCCTCGTGCCCCTGCCACGCGGGGGGCACGGAGGGTTGTTCTGCCCCTGCAGTGGGACAGCCCTTAGGCATGGGAGTCGTGGTCGCAGACTCCCCTTCTCCAAGGGAAACCTCTCGTGTCCCACAAATATTCCTTCTAGAAATTTCTTCCTCTTAAAATGTGGCAATTACACAGGGTCTGATGGTCCTGGGGCGGATTGGAGGCTGAGGCCTGTGGACTTGCTGCATGATCCCACCCAGCCCTCCCTCCCTCCGCCCTCCCCTCCCTCCTTCCTTCCAATAAAGTCTCTTGAGTGTCCACTCTGTGCCTGGCCCTGTGCTTGGAACCGGGAGACGAGGGTCGCCAGCTGGCGCGGCCCCTGCCCACAGTGCTGACGGTCTGTTGAAGAAATAGGCAATAACTAGTTTGGCTGTTATGACACTTGTCTTGGGGGGGCGTCTTTCTTCCTCAGCCACCACCTCTGAGCCCTGTCCCCAGGGGCCCCCTCACAGCTAGGCAGTTCAGGGACAGAGCCCTGAGGCCTGGGCCTCACTGTGGGACCACAGACAGCTTGACACCTGGGAGCCTCAGTCTGCACAGCTATAAAATGGGGTGAAGGGATCAGACCTGCCACTGGCAGGTCCAGACAGAGACCTGCTGTAATGTGAGGGGTTGGGTTCCCAAGATTCAAAGCCAACTGCGCATGGCTGTCCACCAGGAAGCTTTCAGAAGGTCATCCTCTCTATCACCTTCTCTCTCTCTCTCTCTCTTTTGGGACAAGGTCTCACTGTCACCCCGGCTAGTGGGTGGCATCATCATAGCTCACTGCAGCCTCCAACTCCTGACCTCAAGTGATCCTCCTGCGTCAGCCTCCCAAAGTGCTGGGATCACAGGTGTGAGCCTCCGCACCCGGCCTCACTTTCTCTCTCAAGTTCTAGTGATGCGATTTTACCGTCAGCATGGGAGAGTCGTGGATTCAGGCAGACTCAGCTGTGTGTGCTTGGGCGCATTGCTCCGCCTCTCTGAGCCTTGGTTTCCTCAAATGCAAATGGGACAATAAGGTTGCTATTTGGAGGCTACTGTGAGGAGTTACTGAGATAATATATTGAAAGCAGCTGGCATGACGCTTGGCACATGTGACCATTGGCAGCTGGATTTAATTCCTCTTTTACAATGTCAACTTTTTACCCGGAAAACCTTTATTTATTTTCTTATTTTTTTTGAGACAGAGTCTCACTGTGTTGCCCAGGCTAGAGTGCCGTGGCGTCATCCTCGCTCACAGCAACCTCAAACTCCTGGGCTCAAGCGAGCCTCCTGCCTCAGCCTCCCGAGTAGCTGGGACTACAGGCATGTGCCACCATGCCCAGCTAATTTTTTCTATATATTTTTAGTTGTCTAATTAATTTCTTTCTATTTTTAGTAGAGACGGGGTCTCGCTCTTGCTCAGGCTGGTTTCGAACTCCTGAGCTCAAACAATCCACCCGCCTTGACCTCCCAGAGAGCTAGGATTACAGGCGTGAGCCACCGCGCCCGGCCCCGGAAAACCTTTATTCAAGTCCCAGCTCTGCCGCTGACCAGCCACGTGGCCTTGGGTGGGTTGTTCAAACTCTAAGTGCTCAGTTTCCTCACCTGTAAAATGGGGACAATGATAGTACCTGCCTCATGTGCCACGGCAGGCCTAGGGTAGGAGCTATGCGAATGTGGCCAATTATTATTGCTGTTGTTGCTGTCATTATTATTGTTATCATTATTTGCAGCGCCCAGCAGGCTGTTTTGAATGAATAAATGACACTGAACCTGGGTAGAAATCAAACCGTCTGGGTCAGCTCTGCTGGGAACAGTGACTTAGGCCTAGGCTGCTTAGAGCCAGGCCCGTGCCTGGAAACCATACATTCAAACCCTACGCCGGGGCCAAGTTCGAGCATTTCCCTCTGGGCCCCTTCGTCCAGGGGGTGAGCGACAAAACGGAGGGGGAAAGAGGAAGAATAGCTGATTGTTTCCTGCCGCCCAAGAGGTCACAGCTGCCGGCCCAAGCTGTCCTGAGAACAGAGTGTGCTCAGCTTCCTGCCGCCCACCCTGTCTCTGCCGGCCTGAGGGTGGGCCTGGGGCAGCCCTAGGATCCAGGTTTA